GTCTGGTGAGTACTTTCCCCCCCTCTTTTAGCGCTTCGCGTGCATACGTTGTTCCTTCGTTGTTCAGTCTGGTCCTCCTAGTAGGGATCGACCGATATTGATTTTTCAGAGCCGATACCGATACCGATATTCTGTGAACTTTCAGGCCGATAGCCGATATAATTTGCCGATATTCTGTACATTTACCATTTTGGAAAATAAAAACTATTTCTAAAGGTAAATGCACAAAATAGACATGCCACGTGTAGTGGATGCAGTGTGACAGGGGAGCTGTGTGTGTTTGTGTAGTGTGTGTTGTGGATGCAGTGTGTGTTTGTGTAGTGTGTGTGGAGGGTGCAATGTGTGTTTGTGTAGTGGATGCAGTGTGTATTTGTCTAGTGTGTGTAGTGGATGCAGTGTGTATTAGTGTAGTGTGTATATAATGAAAGCAGAGTGTTTGTGTAGTGTGTGGGTAGTGTGCGTAAAGTGAATGCTGTATATACTAAATGCAAAGTGTGTGTGTATATAATGAATGCAGAGTGTGTGTATTTGTGTAGTGTGTGTATAGTGAATGTAGTGTGTTTATATAATGCAGTGTGTGTGTTTGTATAGTGTGTGTATATAATGCAGTGTGTTTGTGTAGTGTGCATTATATAAACACACTACACAAACACACTGCATTATATACACACACTGCATTATATACACACACACACACTACACAAACACTGCATTATATAAACACACTACACAAACACACACACTGCATTATATACACACTGCACAAACACACTACATAAACACACACCGAATTATATAAACACTACACAAACACACTGCATTATATACCCACACTACACAAACACACACTGCATTATATACACACACTACACAAACACACTGTGTATATAATGCAGTGTGTGTTTGTACAGTGTGTGTATATAATGCAGTGTGTGTTTGTGTAGTGTGGGTATATAATGCAGTGTGTGTTTGTGTAGTGTGGGTATATAATGCAGTGTGTTTGTGTAGTGTGGGTATATAATGCAGTGTGTGTGTGTTTGTATAGTGTGTGTATATAATGCAGTGTATTTGTGTGCATTGTATACAAACACACACACACACTATACAAGCACACACTGTATTATATACACAGTGTGTTTGTGTAGTGTATGTGTATATAATGCAGTGTGTGAGGGGGCATTTTTTATTAAATTATTAAAAAAAAAAATTATATTTACTTAATTATTATTTATTTTTGTTGTCCCCCCACCCTGCTTGTTGCCTGGCCAGGGAGGGGGGATATGACAGTCCCTGGTGGTCCAGTGGTATTGGCTGAGCTGGGGGGGCGGGCAGCAAGCGCTTACTCACCTGCCAGCAGCTCCTCCAGCTCCCCAGTGCAACTCTCGCGGCCAGCGTGTCGCGCGGAGCGTTGCCATGGTGATCCATGGCAACGCTCTGACGGCCGCGGGTCTCGCGAGAGTTGCACTGGGGAGCTGCTGGGAGGTGAGTAAGCGCTTGCTGCCCGTCCCCCCAGGACCACCGGGCTTGTAATGAGCCTGGCGGTCCTAGGAGGTATTATCGGCAATATCGGTATCTGAATTGGCCGATACCGATATTGCCGAGAATACCGAATATCGGCCGATTATATCGGTAAAACCGATAATCGGTCGATCCCTACCTCCTAGCACGGTAAAAATAATAAAAAAATACAACAATGATATATATATAAAAAAAAAAAAAGTAATTTGCAGTACAGAAAATAAATTTGTGTCAATTACCGCATGGAATGAATTAAACGACAGCCAGATAACAGAACATACAACCGTGATTTAACTGTCAAGTACACGGTGATGGATGATCAAACCCCAAAAAAAAAAAAAAAAGTGTGTGTGTATATATATATATATATATATATATATATGAACGAGGAAAGTCTGGGTACAAGGACAGCGCTTTCCCCCCCTTCGTTTTCAGTATGTCTCATTTGTTAGGTACCAGTGTCTGGCGCAGCGGATAGCGCCGGCGGTGCCTCCCAGGTTCGCATGATTCTGGGTGTTGCTGAGCTAATATGGCCCGCTTGGCTTGCGCGCACTACTAGGGAGCATATGGGGGAAGGGGCTTTATTACAGGTGTGTTCCCTCCTGCCACGGGGGTCCCTTGGCTAAGAGGGACATTAGGGGCTCCAGGAGGGTCATGGGGAGCATGCTGTGGTCGGTTGCGCCCCAGGGTGCATATTCGAATGCACCCTGTGTTCTGGATAGCATGGTCGGGGAGAGGGCTCCCCGAGAATGCGCTGCGTGGTTCTGCGGTCAGGACACTTCCGGGACGCATATCGTCCCTGGGAGGAGCTGGGTTGGTGGAGGTACGTTTTGCGCTTTCGTGGCGGTGCAACCCTTCTTGGCCCGGGGCCGGATGGGCTTCAGCCTCTGGTTTTGCTTAGGGCTCGCCTGGTGCCTCTCTGCAATCTGTTGGGATGGGGACTTGGTTGCTCTCGGTGCGGGACCCTCAGTCCATGTGAGAGCTCCTTCGGGTAGTGTGGGTCCAGTTTACCACGCACGCTCGCCTAGCTTACTTCCCGCTCGTTTACAGTGCCCCTGGAGTCCGCTCTGCGGGTCCCCCCGTTGGGATGTGGTGCCCATGGAGGAGCGGGGTTGATATCCCCCGATTCCTTATTTACTCGGTTGTCGTTTCCTTCCGAGGGCTGGGTTTGAGTTGGTGGCTCGGCGCAGTGGTCTGCGTGGGTGGGGCTGCGGGGCCCTGGGGCCTTGCTGACGAGGCTGCCGGTACGCCCGTCGAGGTGTGGTTTCCGGGCTGTGTTTCTGACGGTCAGGATTAGGTGGCTAAAGTGCCTCCATGTAAGTTGCTCCCGATGTCGCTTATGTGTGGGGCCGTCAGTGTCGCATGTGCGCACTCTGCTGCTGCAGTGTTTTTCTTGGGGTAGTGTTTTGTTTGGAGTTTCGGAGTTCCGGGGCCCAGGCCTTCTCCGTGGGTCGGGATGTGTGCTCCTGTCTCCTGGATAGTGGGATCAATTCCTGTAAGGGGAACGTCGGTGCCCCTGGCTGCGGTTTTGGGGCGTCAGGCAGGAGGCGTCGGTGGTTTGGAGGGGCGTTGTGGGTTTCGGCTGCGCTACCCGTGGTCTCTCTTGGGTACGCTGGGCTTTGCCTATTGGGGTTGCCCTTGGGACTGTATGGGGGTTCCTGCTGGGCCTCCTTTACCACTGGCTTGTGCAATCTGGCCCCCTGTGTCCTTTTTCCGCTGGCTTCCAACGGTTTTGCCTGCCGCAGCAGGTTTTGGGGTTTTGGGCCATTTGGGCTCTCGGTGGTGCTGTCTCTTGCCCAATACGCTGGCTCTGGCGGACTCTGGTGTTCTTGGAGGTCCCCCCTTTCTGGTGGCATGGTAGGCATGGGTTACCCGGCTCACGAACGGGTGGGGGGGTTTTCCTTGGGGACCATCGTGGGGTGCTGCTGGCTGTTTTTCACATATGACAGTACCCTATACCCCGGTGGTACTTTGGTACTCTGGCTCGGTGCTATTTGAGTCTAGAGGCGGCTGGTCAAGGTTTTTGTCCGGTTGTTGCCGATTTGGTGGCCGATGCTCTGTCTTGTTCATTATCGAGCCTACTTCAGGTGGTGGTGTCACGGGGTCCATTTGTAAGGCAGTAGAGGTGTGGTCCCTTGGTCCGACGGTCTGCTGCAGCTGGTCGGTGGGCGATCTCTAGGGCGGCGTGGGGTCCGCTCCAGTAAGGTTGGAGTGTTCGGGACGGATGGTTACGTTTTCCTTTTGGGTCCCGGGATTGGTCTGCTCATCTACATGTTTGGTTCCGTCTATTGCGGGCGTTAGGGGCGATTTCTGCGATTAGCGGGGCTCGGCTTCCCGTTCATGTTACGGTAGTCGGCAAGTGGGAGGGTGTTTTGGTGGAGTTGAGGGAGCGTTGGAACGGACTTCCTTCAGGTTTCGCAGCTCGATGGCTGTTGTCGTTGGGAAGGGTAGGTTGGTTTGAGTTTGGTTGTTTCATCGATTGAATCTGTTCAATTCTTGGATGTCGCGGGTTTGACTTTCTGCATTCTCCTGGGGTTGGTGGGATGCACGGGGTGATGGTTGGGGCTCCTGCCATGCTGTAATGGGTTTCCAGGATGGTCTGTAATATACCGTTCCGATCGGGGGCGGTGCAGGGTTCCGTCATTGGCCTGTTTTTCATTGGGAGTACTGTTCCGTCCCTTGGATTGTTCGGCCTCCTCCCCTGTTTGGTTCTCGGAGATGGGTTTTCCACCCCCGCGTCCATTTAGTTGGGGTGTTCCTCTTGGCGGCTCGGACTCCTGGATAAGGATGGTGAGGTTTTCAAGGGGCATTTAATTTGGTTGGGGCGGCTACGGACACCGCCAGGCTGGGCGTTCCTGCGCCGATGGCTCAGAGGGCTCGAATGGTGGGAGTCAGGGTGGTGGGTTCCTTGGGTTAGCCTTGCTGGTCTCTGCTTGGATTTATCTCCGCGTTTACGGTTCTCCCCCTCCCCCCCCCCGGACTGGGGAGGGCGGGGTTTTTCGTGGGTAATTTGGAAAGGGAGGCAGGGGCGAGTGGTTGGATCTTCCTCCTTCTGGGGCGGAGGTTCGGTGGTCTGGCTCCGGCTACGTGAAAGGGGTGTGGCTCCTCCTCATACAGGGTCAGCTGCCCCGCCTCATGGGGTACCAAGGGTTTTGTCATCCCTGGGTGGAATGACATGGGCCGGTGGTGGTTTAGGACTTGGGTTCTCTTCGATCTGGACATGTTACGCATTACGTTTCTTCCCCGAGGTTCTCAGGGGCTAGGCTGTGCCTATCGCCCCTTTTCTGTTGGCAGTGCACTCCGCAATGTGAGCGCCCTGGTGCGCTGCCGTCGGTCATCAGACTAGATGGGTTTCTAGGTTTGTAGTGGCCATAACTAAATGACTAAATACATAACTGGCAAAATGAATATATAAAACATAAACACTTCCAGTTCGCCTTTTGGGTTTGGCCAAATGTGGCCTGGTTTTCTCGTAGAGTGGGGTGCGCTTGCTGGAGGTCGGTCTTGGCCTCTGCTGATCTAGCGCTGCAAGAAGTGGTGGAACAGGCCATGGCTGGTTGTGGTGGGGTCCCCCGCTGATTTTAGGTGTAAAACAGCGGGGTTGTGGCGGGGGTATGTCCTTGCCAATTGAGTTTGAGTGGTTACGTTTAAGTATATGGAATGGGATGAACAAGTTTTTTAAGGTCTCAACCTCCCCTGCTTCAAACAGTTAACATTAGGTTGCCTGAGGTGTCGTGCCCATCGAGCGTGGATAAGGTCGGCTGATGGCGGGCATTGGAAATATATGATTTTTATGACGAGGGGGGAGGTGAGAGGAAGTGGTGATTAGGAACCACCGTATGTTTATTGGCAAGGACGGTTGGGTCACTGTATAACACTATGTGTGGAGTTATATATGTATATATGTTAACTTATGCTTATTTATGTCTAACGTTTTGGTTACAGAAAAAGAAGAGATTTAATAAATAAAGTTATGGATGTGTTATGCAGTAATTTAGTTTGTGATAATAAATGCTGTGGCCTGTTTCATCCATACTATGTGGTCTGTCGTTATAGGGGGGTTGAATGGGGTTAGTTTTTGTTCTAGGCTGCATCGCGATTCCCCACTACATACATACAAGGCCCTGGGGAGATAGCGCAGCTAAGTGGACAAGGGCACATGTA